TTCAAGTTCAAGTTCAGTTCAATTTTGAACTAAACTTGAACTTGGCCAAAAGTTCAGTTCAGTTCAGTTCATAGGAATACTAGTTGTGTAGTAGTGCACTGTTATTGGTATAGATTCTATAAATAGTATAATTTTGTAGCTACATCATTTTTGGCTACACTTAATAGCTACACATATTCATCTAGTCTTTTTTAATGTCTTTGAGAATTTGATCTTTATTAAGAGTTTTACTTCACCAGAGATTTTGTCATTTATCAGAATTTCATCTTTCATTAGAGATTTGCCTTTCACCAAGATTTTGTCTTTTATCAGGTTTAGTTTTTGCCAAGACTTTATTTACTAGTAGTTTGTATATCAGTTTCTTGTCAATAGTAAATTGTAGTTGATCTGTTGTTGTGTTTTAAGCTTTATTTCACTAGTAACTTTGCACTTTATTTCACTGGTGGTGATTTAATTTAAGTAGAATTATATTTAGCAGTTAGAGTTAGATAATTAAAGTTAGAATTAGTTGTATTAAATATCTAAAATTTTATTGCATAATAGTGCTTTAAAATAATATATATAATATTGCTATAATACAGTATTTTTCTAGTAAAATGCACTTTTATGTGACTATTAAAAAATTTTTTAAATTCATTTATATTAGAGTTAGCATTTATCGTATTTACGCGAAATAATACACATCTGCATATTATTTCGAGTAGATGCGTGTTATTTTGAGTACACATATGGGTATTATTTTAATGCAAAGGATATACCCCAATCACTGATAGTAAATATTAGAGTGATTTATTAACATTAGTATATGGGGTGTGCATTATTTCAAGATGCACATGAGCATTATTTTGAAACCAACTATGCTATTTTAAGAAAATGTGATTTTTAAAATAATGCCCATATATGTTATTTTGCGTAAATATAGTAAATTAATATTAGAAAAAAAAGATAATATAGTAAAATTACACAAAAAAGAATTTTTTTATTAGTATATAAAAGATAAAAGATGGTTTTTTATGTAAATATTTGAGAAATAAATGATTTTTAACAAAATTAACATTTATTTTAGACTTTTGTGATCATATTGCACTATATCAAACTTGTATTAATTATTAACTAATTTGTTGTAGATTATTATATGAAAGTGATGACAATACTGGGTCAAAATATAGTCACATAACTATGTATATATACAGTATACAAATAGAAATCATTTTAAACAACAAACTCTTTCTAATAATCCCTTGGTCAACAACAAAATAAACTGAACTACAGAAAAATAATATAGAAAAGCAACAAAGTAGATATCTAAATATTTCTAGTACCATACAAATATACTTGCTGTTGACAAAACTTTATATACGTAAAATACCGAGGAGCAGGCATATAAACAACAAGTAGGCTATACCTTTAAATCAAGCTTTTAGTGAACTCTTTCGTACTTTTGATATCCAAACCAAAAGGATATTTTGGGAGCAACATTACCATAGGTCCCTAGACAGAAATACTAAGTAGAAACTGAGGAACTAAACTATACAACTATAACTCTTACAAGAAGAATTTCACATACTCTCGTTGGCCCACCACTTTTTTTGAGGAATTTTTGTAAAAAGTGGGCATTTCAGTTTACCTCTCTAAAAGATCAATATCACATATATCAAAACAGTTGGTATTGTTTACTTTCTAAATCGATACAACAGGACAACAAATATATCAAGGCACATGTTTTGAATACAACAAGCTGATAAACAATACTCTGAGACTTGGATCGAGTACTAACCCCCTATGTTATATGGTCAAAAAAATATTTTTTCACTGGTTTTAAGCTTCCATATACTATTTAGATAAATTTAGAGTAGGAACTATTTTATTAAGTAGTATGTAATTTTTACAAGTCATTTACAGGTTTATAATAGTAATCATTAAGATAAACAAATTTTCTTTTTTTGTTTTTTTTTTGATTCTTTCTTACCTCTTTTCTTTTTTTTTTGTTTATATCTTTTATCATATCCCCTTTACCTCTGTTTTATTTTTTCTTTTGTGTTTGTGCTTCTGTTAATTTGGCTTTTTTGACAAAGTGATGCAGCTACTAGGGCTAAGAATCAGAGTGTTCATATCTTCAGAAAGTTGAGGATCCAATTTGAAGTCAATTGCTGCTAGATGAGTCATTCTCTGAGTTTAACTCGAGTTAATCTTTACTTGTATAGAATATAGTATAGAAAATTATATCTTTCTGTTAATATAAGTTCTTGTACTTCCAAATAAAGAGTAATAGGCAGGACCACCGATTAAAAAAAAAAAAAAGAAATCATTTTAAAATTATATAGTAATTCCTATATATATTTTTAAATTTAAATATTTATATTATATTATATAACATTATGTAACATTATTTTTTGTATAATATAATATATATAATACAGAATACCTATCTCTAGCTATAATTTTAGAGTTTGTTGTATAGAAGTTTGTATTTAATAGACAATATATCTGTTATCTGAAGAGAATCTGCAAATTTTTATAAGTAAATTTTACTATTGAGCTAAATATGAAGCACTTCAATACACTCCAATTAGCAATTGGAAAAGGACTTAATCTTGCTAAAATGCTAGTTATTCGATCTAAAAGATTAATTAATTTTTTATTATCACTAAAACAAACTGAACGTTTAATAGAAGCTCAAAAGGTACTTCGAATATCTGAGGATAAAATTAATAAGCAAAAAAAACATATATTCAAGCAATTGCAGATATGTTTACTAGATAGAATTCATTATATATATCTTGAAAATGATTGCTACAACTTCAAAAAGCATTAGATATAATATTAGCAACAATGAATGCTGAATCTGATTATAATATCAAAAAAGATGCTAAGCGACTTTATACAATTATGTTAACTAAAAATGAATGGCAAATATTAGAACAATTAATTAATTTATTAGCACCTTTTGCTAAAGCAACTACTTTACTTGGAGTAGTACTTATTCTACTATAAGCTTTATGTTACCAGCAATTAAAGTATTATTACAAAATTGTAAACCTAAAGCATGTGATTATGAGAATTATCAAATCGAATCTGAATCTGATAATATAAATTTTGATGATATTACTACAATATTTGATGAAGAAAAAATTATTGTAGATTATGATTATGATAATGAAATTGAAATTACTATAGATGCTAAAGAAATAAATGTAAATGAGTCTATTGAAACTAAGGGACTAGTATATAAAGTAAAAAATGCACTATATGAAGCGTTAAAATATTATTGGAAATTACCTTTAGAAAGTTCTTTAATTGCAACATTTTTGGATCCAAGATGTAAAAAAATAGATAAATTTTTTGAATGGGAATGAGAGCAAGCAATTGAAGCTGTACGAGATTTAGTTCAAAAATATACAAATCAATCTAATTCTTATCATAAATCTATTAATATTAATATAAATAATAAATTACTTAATCTTATGTTTGGTAATCAAGAGCAATTAGAATGTAATGAAGTAGATTTATATTTAAAAATAAAGGAAATAAACTATAATGCTAATCCTTTTACTTGGTGGGATAATGAAAAACCAAAATTTCTAATTCTTTCTAATTTAGCTCAAAAATATCTTTTAATTCCCGCTACTTCTACTGCTAGTAAATATTTATTTTCTGATAGCAGAAATATTATGACTAGTAAAAGAACACAGCTAAATGAAATTTTATTTGAAAGAATTTTAT